CAGGAGGCCTTGAGAGGAACATGGCATGCAATGGAGAGCCCTCCATGCTCCTACATGTATTTAGTTTTGGGTAGTGAATTTCAAGAGGAATTTTAGGCCATGTGGAAAGAGTCCAAAGGGGAATGAAAATGCCATCCAGAAAACATGACCTTCAAGGGAGCTACAGTTGTCCAATCTAAAGAGAAACAAATAATGGTGTGAGAGTCTGGGAAAGAGCAAGAAACAGGACTGTCTCCCTGGGATAAGCTAGATCATAGGGATGAGAGTCAGTTGCCTAAATAAACCCAGATGTCCTCTGAAAGACCATAGGCTAACCCAGCTGGCCTCCACCTGCCGTTCCAGAATGGAACAAGTGATCTGTAGACCCTTTACAAGCCTCAGCAGGAGGTTTCATGCTTCCTACCATTTCTGAAATCTTTCAAGACATGTCTTTTTAGACAGTAAGGTGTTCCGATATTTGTAGGACACATCTGAGGCAAGCTGGTCAGGATCCAGGCCTTCTGGCTATGTCTATATTGGTAACCTCAGTGGGGTTGGAGTGGGGGCATGAGTTCTGTCTTGCAATGTGCCATGTTGCTAAAATTGTAAGCACAGACTTGGAGGCCCTCATGTGACTGGGTTCTGGTCCCAGGCATTGTTCTAAAGAGGCTGTTGAGAGATGGCCGCTCAGTTTGGTGGGTGTTCAGATGTCTGGAGAAAGACTGTCCCATGCATGTGAAAGGGCAGACTGACTCCAAGGGTGAATCTTGACCATCTCTTCTGTTCCTTAGGCAAGTCTCTCTTCGTGGACAATACCCTCCAAAAGATCCGTGCCCGGCTGGATGATTTACCAGTGGTTCACAAAACCATTAGGCTGATGGAGTCAGAGATTGATTTCCAGTTCCTTCTGGAGGAGCTACTCTCTGTTGAGGAATTCCCAACTGAAACTCAACCCACTGTCTTCCATATTGATGTGTCACCAGTGGTGAGAGTCTTAGTGTTTGAATGTGGAGTGTCCAAGACTTTTTTAGGGGAGGGTATTTGGACAGCCTCCTGTTCTGGCTTATTCTCATCTACAGTAGTGACAGCAGGTGCTTAAAAGCTAAAGTGAACAACGAGAGTTCTGGGTACAGTTTAGAAGTTCAGGTACAGCATTTGTCTAGTTCCATGCCCACAGGTGGGAAAGCTATGTGAAATGGGTCCCATTTCATAAAAGCAATCTTTCCTCCTACAGTGGTATCCATCAGAGTGTAGGGCACTGGAGGATGGCTGAATTCAAACCAAGTGATCAGGCATTGAAGCCCCTGTACATGGGGAGAAGAAGGGGTGGATTCTCCATCTCACATCCAGCCTTGTACCTCTCTGGAAGGGACTTTATTTAAAGAAAACGTAGTGGGCTTAGTGCAGAGGGTGAATCCAAATGATCTAGTCCTACCTTGGAAGGGTTCAGTGTACCAAGGAGCCAATCATATTAACAGTTACGGCTGTCTCAGTGTGTGCTAGAATAGCAATCCTACATAAGAATGGGAGCAAAGCTGCAGCCTGGCTACAGGTACCACTACCTGTCATAGGTAATGGAGTAAGTGTGTTTTGATAGACATTTCTTTCACAGACTTTCAAATGTTTCTTCCCTGTCAGGTGTCAACAGGTCTCTACCGGCTGCTGATTGAGCTATGCATCCTAAGACACATCCAGAGTCCAGACGGTTTGGTCTGGAAGTGCAGATCCTCTCATCTTTACCTGATTGAGTGCCTAGCAAAAGGGAAAGGCTTTAGCAGAATACGGAAAAAAGAGGTATTTCTTTGGGGATGGTGTGCTCAGGTCAGAGGAATAGTAAGGGAGATATTGTTAACATAACTAGGCCTGTGCCTGCAGTAAACCTGTTAAAATCCAGTCTTTTAAAGCTATATGTAATTTAGGGTCTGTCACTCCAGTGGAGTGATGGCTCATCTACAGAGAAACAAGCAGTCCCAGCATGTGTCTACTCTGGAAAGTAAATGTAAGGTGCTGTGCAGGGTTGGGTTTTTTCAGTTCATTCCTGATGTAACATAGACATCCCACATGTTCAAAAAATAATAGATGTCTTCCATGTGAGAAAAGGGACGACACTTTAAAAGAGGAAATTAGCAATGTGTTGACAGTTACAACATCCTGAGTAGCCTGACGAGGGTGAATGGGGAGCAAGCATCCACCATCTCTTCCAACACAAGAACACGAATTATCAAACAATGTTAACAAGATCAGCTTAGAACAAATTAAAAGGGGGTGATTCTTCATAATATGGGCCGTAAATCTGTGAGGGTCCTTGCCAAAGGGGGCTGTGTGTGCCCCCTTTGATAGGTTGACACAGGTGCAAGGTGAGTCTGGCCATGTACTTGGAAGGGAAAGCATTGTGGCTTACTAACTAGAAAAAGCAGATGAAGATGGAGAGTAGCCTGTGCTGAAACCTGTCTGGCAGATCGTTTTGTGGGTGGAAATAATCATGCTTGCTCTATTCTAGCTTGTCATTGGACACTCACTCAACACTAGGACCTTACAGGTTATGGGCATGTCAGCACATATCCATCTAGGAGCATGCATGCAGGCTTGGACAAATTTGATCTACATATGATTTTTCCAGCTTCCTGACCTATTTGTGTGCAGAAAACAAAGCTCTTGAACTATAGGCAAATGCAGGCGGTTGGGCAACTGTCCTTGTTGTAAGCTGTGCACTCCTTATTGACTTTATTTTAGATGTCCAGTGAAACAGAAGAAAAGTTCCTGGATCTTTTTCCTGCAGTGAATTGTGTATCACCAAGGCGGGCACTTGAATTGCTGGAACACCCCAGTTCTGGTCGTCTTTCTGAAATTAAAGAGGAGCAGTTTGACCAAGACAAGTTAAAAAGTGAAGCTTTCCAGAGGTCTTACCAGTACCTCAGCAGATACAAGAGGAAGGAAGACCTTGACCATTTCCTTTTCATCCCTGAGATGACTGAAGGGACAGAGAAAGAGTGCCTGAAGCTCTTACTGGAGTTCTGTGGGAGGCACAACCCTTCCTGGACTGAGCTTAGCAACTTCACTCATTTCTTAAGCTTCCAGCTAAGCAAGTGTGAGAAATCGGTTTTCTGTAGCCCAGCAGTCGGAAAGGATTTCCAGGGGTTTAAAACATTTGTGGTAAAGTTCATGATCACCATGTCCAAGGACTTTGCTGTGCCCTCTCTTGACATTGCTGATGAAAGTGTGTCAAGTGCAGAAAATGATGATGAGGAAAACAGCATTATAAGACAATACCAGCTAAGACGAAAATGGGAACAAGAGTCCCACCCCTACATAGTCTTCCATGCAGACAACGACTCCATGGAGTTCTTGGGTTTCCACATCAACAATAAGTTGGATGCTATTGATGCCCATTCTCAAGCTGTTTTGGAAAGGAATGTTATCAAAGATGAATTATACCGCACTTTGAAAGCCCAGCATGTTCCTTTCAATAAGAAGTTTGAAGATTTGCCCAGAACAATGCAGCTAAAGGCCCTTTGCAGAGTTTTTGGTGTGAGCTACACCCAAGATCCAGATGAATCATATCAGCTGACACTGGACAACACCATGAAGATGCTTGCCATTCATCTGAGGTTTCAGTGTGGGATCCCTGTAATCATCATGGGTGAAACAGGTTGTGGGAAAACAAAGCTTATTCAGTTCATGTGCAGCCTGCAAAGGGCAGGCAGGGACATTCAGAACATGGTGGTAGTACGTGTTCATGGTGGCACTACCTCCAAGATCATCCGCAAGAAAGTTAGGCAGGCAATTGAGCTGGCACGCATCAACGAAGAAAGGCACAAAGTGTATACTGTACTCTTTTTTGATGAAGCAAACACATCGGAAGCTATCTTTGCAATTAAAGAGGTGCTGTGTGATTCCAGCATAAATGGAGAGAAGATTCTCACTGACAGTTTAAAAATAGTAGCTGCTTGCAACCCTTACAAAAGACACACCAAGGAAACCATAGAGAAACTTGAAAAAGCTGGCTTGGGGTACCGAGTTCGGAGTGAAGACACACTGGAGAAAATAGGCTACGTTCCTTTGCGACAGCTGGTATATCGAGTTAAGCCTCTTCCACCTAGCTTATTGCCTCTTGTCTGGGATTTTGGAGAGCTGAATGAAAAGACACAGAGCTTGTACATCAGAGAGATTGTAAAATCCGCCATGAAGAACAAGATCAGCATGGGAAATTTGGACATCTTTACCAGTGTCATTTCAGCCTCCCAGAAGTTCCTCAGAAAGAAGAAAGATGAATGCAAAGTTGCCAGTCTTCGGGATATAGAGCGCTGCATGAGCGTTGTGCTGTGGTTTTATAAATTAAGAGACCTGTTATTTCCTCTAATTGATGAGAAGAAGTACAAAAAGGAACAGGAGCCAATCTTAAATGATGCACAAAGGGCCTTGGTCCTTTCAGTGGGAGCTTGCTATTATGTATCTCTGGAGAGCCGCAAAGATTACCTGGAGGAGGTCGCAAAATGCTTTTCTGTCCCTGCATCCCTTCTGAAGCAAGAGATTGAGCTTTGCCAAGAGGTGTTTCTTGATAACCTCTCTGTTCCTGAGGCAACAGCCTGCAATGATGCTCTGAGAGAAAACATCTTCATGATAGTTTTATGCATGGACCTACGAGTTCCACTCTTTCTGGTTGGGAAGCCTGGAAGCTCAAAATCTCTGTCTAAAACCATTGCTGTAAATGCCATGAAGGGCAGGCTGTCCAAACGCCCATTGTTCAAAAGATGCAAGGAGATCCAGCTGCTGTCTTTTCAGTGTAGTCCCCATTCAAAGCCAGAAGGGATCATGTCCACTTTCCGACAATGTGCACAGTTCCAGAAGGGAAAGAATCTGGATGAATTTGTGTCCGTGGTCCTCCTGGATGAAATCGGCCTCGCAGAAGACTCACCAGAGATGCCGCTGAAGACACTGCACCCTCTTCTTGAAGATGGATGTGTTGATGATGAAAACCCAGAACCTTACCAAAAAGTTGGCTTTGTGGGCATTTCAAACTGGGCTCTAGACCCTGCCAAAATGAACAGGGGTCTCCTTGTATTTCGGACTGACCCTGACAAAGAAGACCTAATTAAAACTGCAGAGGGCATCTGTGCTGCACAGTGTCATCTTCAAGGCATTGAGGATTTCTTCCCTGTGCTAGCAGAATTCTACTGCAAGGTGCTAAAAACACAAAAAGTTGAGTTCTTTGGGCTCCGTGATTTCTATAGCTTGATCAAAATGATACTGTCCTATAGCCAGGACAAGAAGTGCATCTCTCAAGAGGAGATAATTATGAAGGCCATTCAGAGAAACTTTGGAGG